TGAAATAAAACATAAATGTTCCGTAATGATTAACATGTACATTAAAAATTAAGTGAGTGTTATAAGTAAAAGGAAAGTGGTACATTTAAAAGACTAGTAAAGTGCTACCATTTCCTTGTGGAGGACAGTCACAGCAGGTATCTACTGAGTACTTGCTGGTACTGTTGGAAGGATCCTGCTGTGCCTTTATTGATTCCCCTTGACCTATGAAGTTTCTTTCCATTTAACTTGGAGAAAAACAAGAGAAAGGAGCTTTAAGTGACTTATTTAATGTCACATAGACTGTCTGGAAGAACTAGCCTGTACTGCTTATTTCTAGGGACAAAGCTATTATTATCCAACACAGATATTCCTAATTATATGAATAATAGCCTTAAGAGTAAAGCATAAAAGATTTCCTTTTAAGGAAGAGATGACTTTTGAGATTTTACTGTAATATACCTTTTTTTTTTTCCATTAGTGATGAGATATCCCTATTGCTTTTATCTTCTGACCTTGAATAATACATATTTATATATCTTTACTTTTCCCTTTATAAAAAAGGTTAACTAATGTAGATTGCATCTGATAATATTTGCATCAATTCTTAATGTATGTTCAAAATTTTTGATCTCATATAAGTTTAGAATATGTTTTTGGTATTAAAAATTTGACCTAGTTTATAACTATCCTATAAATTCATAATAAAATATTAAGAGAGATGACTGTAGCCAGAGAGGGCACAGGCTGGATGAGCTTGCTGCACCCTCAGGCATTTTCTTTTCTGAGCCACAGTGATTTCAAAGTGGAAAGTGTATTCCTATATCAGAAGCTACAGAGCTGACCTTGAGGGAAGTCAAGATATTTAGTGAAAGTAATAGAATGCTATAATCCTGTTTCAATTGAAACTTTACTAAATGGAACATTTGAACACAGTCTTATGAAACATTTTAAGAATGATTTTTAAGCTTACATCTTAAATGCATGTTTTAAAATTATTTTACCTAGATTGACAATAAAATTGTTACATTTATTTAACTTCCTAAATATAGATCAGTAATTTTCTTTAAATTATGATATATTTGATGTTTTTTCCTAAGTCTTGATTTCTTTGTCAGTTGTTCCATACTATTTGATCATTTTATTGAATGATATTACTTATTCCATTTAATATGAAAAAAGCCTAATAAAATAAAGTAAATGTAACAAGTAGATCTGGAAGATACTAAAAAAACAAAACAAAACAAAAAAAAAACAAATAAAAAAAAACTATTCTCATGGCTTTTTAAGAGTTTTTAAGGTATTATACTAGTACCTTAACATGATTTGTTTTTCTAGGTCAGTATTTTAAGTATTTTGAAGTAGGTGCCAATGTTTAAATTAAGGTAACTTTGTAAGAATGTCTCAAATCCTTTCTGGTTGGGTAAAGCCAGCACAATTGTAGCACTGAGCTGTCTGCAGCTGTGAAAGAGGCTCCAGCTTATGGTGGACTGGTACTGAATCTCAATGCAATTTTTCTTTTTCTTGTTGCATTCAGTGTTCTGAAGTAACCATTGTCCACTGTAAAATAAAGCTATGACCAAAGTTCATGCAGCATTAATCTGTAGGTTTAAACATAAATATTTAGAAGGCAATTTGATGTCTATTTAGCAAAACAGCAGCAGTAGCTCCTCTGCTGTAGTTTGTGTCTTCCACAACCACAAACTTTTGACCAGGTTATCAATACCAGGTGTGGATTCCCTCCAAGAGAGCAGGCCTCAGAAATTTAGCTTTGTTACACCAGATAGATACATCACCTACATAGGTTGTGTAGCAAGCAGAGTCCACAGAAAGTAATATTGTTGATTACTTTTTTTTTTTTTAACCCTAGCAGCCTGCCTAGTACTTTCCTGCCCTATAAAATCTAACCATCTGAGAGGAAGCTTCCAACAAAGTTCCTGCTTGATGTATACATTTTCTGTAATTAGAGTGTTTGTCTTCAGCAATAGGGTCTTACCATCTAGTTTTGGTGGGCCACCAAGGCAGTTGCAAGAGCCTGTGTTTGGGTCCATTGTTTATAGGCTGAAATGAGGCAGACTATCATGATAGTGAGACTGTATGGTGGAGTCATGGCACTCAGGAAGCAGAGATGCTGAAAGAGGACTGGAATAAGGAGTAGCTGCAAAGGCCCCTCCCCTTCCCCTTCCTCTAGCTATGTCCTCTTCTCTGTTTCTCAGAATAGCACTACCAGCTCCTGAAGGGATCAAGCCTTTAACAGATGAGCTTGTGGGGAACATTTTAGATTCAAAGCATAACATATAAGACGCTCCTTTTTTGTAGGTGGGCTTAATTCCTTAGGAAAATATTCCAGTTTTCCAGGTCTTATTTCTCTTTATTTAGTTCTGTTTTTCAGAGTCACCAGCTACCCCTCTTTGGATCATCTTTGTCTATTTTGGATGCTGAAGTTTCCCTTTAATCATCAATTTTTTTTTCTAATTTTACTTTCCAATTGTTCACTTGTTATAATTTAAGTTTTTTATTTTATTTTCTAAATATAAAGTTTTAATAAAAATGTATAGCATGGGGCTGGAGAGATAGTGCAGAGGTTAAGAACATTGACTGTTCTTGCAGAAGACCTGGGTTAGTATCCCAGCACCTACATGGCAGCTAACAACTGTCCAGTTCTAGGGCATCTGATCAGTCTCTTCTGTCCTCTGCAGGCAATGCACGACGCAGGTGCACTTACCTTCATGCAGGCAATACATGCATACACATAAAATATAAGTAATAAAATATTTTTAAAAAATGTATAGCAAAATAAAAAAGTAGTAATTTGTGACAATAATTTTATTATCCCATTTAGCATATCCAACAAATCAGTGTCTAGTCCTTGATAGTGCAGTGCAAATTAGACATGACTGCTTCTTCTAATTTATTTAGAATAAATTGTATATATATATTTTTAATTTTTATTATTTTTATTTAATATGTATGAGTGTATTGCCTGCAGATATGTAAATGCACCCTTGTGCAATGCTCTTGGAAGTCAGAAGAGGGCATCAGATTCCCCTGGAACCGGAGTTGTGGAGTTAAGGAGAGTTGTTAGCCACCATCTGATTGCTGGGACTTGAACCAGGTACTCTGAAAGAGCAGCCAGTGCTCTTAAACACTGAGCCATCTCTCTAGCAACTATCCATTCTTTTTCTTTTTTAAAATATTTTATTTATTTTTATTTTATGTGTATGAATGTATTCCCTGCATGTGTGTAAGTGTACCCGTGTCTGGCAATGTCCATGGAGGTCAGAAGAGGGCATTGGATTTCCCTTGAACTGGATTTACAGATGTTTTTCAGCCACCATATGAGGGCTCGGAATTGAAACCATGTGCTTCACAAGAGCAATCAGTGCTTTTAACCTCTGAGCCATTTCTCCAGCTCCTGTGCATTGTTTTCTAATGATTTGTTTCTTTTCTATTTTTATGTTTATTGTGTGTGTGTGTGTTTGTGTGTGTGTGTGTGCGTGCGCGCGTGCGCTTTCGCATCTGTGAAGGTTAGAAGACAGTGTACAGGAATTCATTCTGTTCTTCTACCATGTTGGTTCCTGGGATTAAACTCAAGTCGATAGGCTTGTCAGTAAGCTTCTTTACCCACTGACCCATCTCCTATTCTGCGGCCCCCTATTTCTTTCTTGAGGTCTTCATTTACATTTGACTTCTCATTCTGTGATTTGTTATATAGTATCTTAGTTTTAATATTGTTGGATTTAAAAAAAAATTCATTTGCTGCTCAGGTATTTATTACTCAGCTTCTCAAATTTTTCATGTCCCCCTCAGTATCTCCATAAATTCATTCAGTCTTTCTGGGAATTTCATTGTCTCTACCGACCCCGAGATTTTCAGGAGGTGCTACAGAGAAATTTATGGCAATTGTCCATTACGTCTCAAAACTCTGGCACCTTCACTTTTGACCTAGACCACCAGCTTCATGGTTTATTTCTTTTGCTTGATTATTTGTTTCCTTTAGTTCACTTCTCCCCACATATAAGAATTAATTATTGAAGATGAAGTAAGTAGGTTTGTTGGTTGGATTGCTTTTGTTATTAATGCACCAGTACTGAACCTTGGAATCCTGGAGAACTAGGGGAGGATGAGAATCAGCTGTGTGCGTGCTGTGCTGGTGTCTGCTTGGGAAGCTTCAATTTTGTTTTGTTGCTACTGGCTTTTGTAATTCGATGTGAAATATGTTCATGCCTACTCAGATTCTTTAGGGCAAGCCTACACAAACTACAACCTATCCTTCCTATCTTCATGTGGTTTTGTACATACAGGTTATTGGTACATAGCCACACCCATTTATTAACATGTTGCTGTGGCCTTTTCTACTTCAGACACAGTTGAGTAGTTGTGAGAGAGCTGCCTAAGCCTTAAACATTCACTGTCTGGCCCATGGTAGGACATTTTTGTGAAACTGCTGCAGGGTAATTTTATTTTTCTTGATGATTTTGACTATTTTCATTTTCTTAGGAGTCAGAGGGAGAGATATAGCAGTTCTCTTCAATGCACTCTTTTGACATGGGAGTTGCAACTATGCTGCCATTTAAGGAACCACAGAGCGACACAACCATCAAACTTTATATCAAAATGCTTTAAACTGTAAACATTGTTTGTTGGAATAGTTTGGTTTCTTTTTATATACCAGCTCAAGTGGTAGAAAGCACTTGCCACCAAGCATGACTCCCTGAGTTTGTTTGATTCCCAGCCCTGCATGGTGGAAAGATAGAACCCACTCCCACATAGTCCACTAACCTCCCTCCACAAGCCTACTATGGCATGCATACCCCAAAATTAAATACAATTTTTGAAATGTAATAAAAATAAAAAAAGTGTTCTAAAATCCTACCAGTAGTTGCTACCAATAAATGAACTTATTTGTATTATTTCTCTTTAATTATGTCTTTTTGATCATAAGACTAATTATACTACTACTTCTAGCATGTTTTTGAAATGTAAATTTTATACTTATTTTCTTTTGTACTTTTTTGAAGGTATAAGAAGTTTAACCAGTTTTTGAGCAGCATTGGAGAGAATGAAGGTGGTATCGATAAGTTTTCCAGAGGCTATGAGTCATTTGGCATCCATAGATGTACTGATGGTGGCTTATACTGCAAAGAATGGGCCCCAGGGGCAGAAGGAGTTTTTCTTACTGGTGACTTCAGTAAGTATTTTGAAAGCATTGAAGACATTAGTATTTTATTTGTCTATTACAGACTTATTTTGCACATTAAATTATAGATTACTGATTCAAATAGATGCCTGACTTTTCAGTTACTGCCATGGGTTTTTTACTGTCATTAAATGTTTTACTTCATGTACTGTAATGTGATACAATATGTTCAAGCATTATTAACTATAATATCATATATTAGCAGTAACAACACGAGAATGATACTGTTGGTAGGAGTATTGCAAATACACTCAGCTTTGTTGCTATGCTCTAATACACAGATAGCAATTTTGGTCAGCATCGTGACATAGATCTTCCCAGGAGCACCTGCAGATGCCGAGCTGGCATCACTTTTCTTGATCTCCTTCAGCCTTACACCCTTTGTGAGTTTTCCATAAAAGTTGACACCAGTCTACTAGATAGTGTCCTTGGGAACTCAGATGTTGTTATTCTTTGTCATTTTTCTCTTATCTTCCTTTTCATTTGCCATTTACATGATTCCCTGCACTAGACAGAGTAAACACTACAGAAAAAACTAATTTCAAAAAATCAGACTTCTTAGTTATAGTCTAGTATGGAAGGGCCTACATAAATATCTTTAATATAACCTGCTACATTTTATTGTAGGAGGGTAAGTAATAACCATGCTATGACAGGGAATAAAGCTTTGTTTTGAAAGTAGAATAACTGGCTAAAATAGACATTGTTGAAACGAGAAAATAAATCTGAAAATGGTTATAAATCTTTACCACAATAGAGGTGTATGCTACTTAAAATTTGATATTGTCAAATATCTTAATTTTCCTTCAGTTGCTGTGCGAAATTACTGACCAAAACCAACTTGGGGAGGAAAGGGTTTAATTGATTTACAGCACAGTTCAGGGCAGGAACCTGGGGTGCAGACCCATGGAGGATTGCTGTGTACTGGCTTGCTTCTCCCAGCCTCTGCTCAACACTACCCACAGTGTACTGGGCCCTCCCACATCACTCAGCAGTCAAAAAATGTCCCATAGTCTTGGCCATAGGCCAACTTAGTAGAGACAGTACCTCAGGCCTCTCTTGACAACCAGGTGTGTCAAGTTGTCAACTAAACCGATCCAGCACAGCAGACTAAAAAGTTTGCAAGCTCTGTTATCTAATTTTAGACAGGTGGAAATGGCATATCTATCGGGATAGGAAATATATGTGTTGTCAGGAATTGATGACAGTGGAGTAATATAAATAAGCATGAGGGAACTGTTTGGAATGAAGGAAGTTCTTTAAACCCTGGTTGTTGTGGTGGTTATGTAACTATATCTATTAATCTAAATATATAGGTCTATATAAATAGAGTAGATTTTTCTGCAAGTAAATTATATCTCAAAGAATTTAACCAAAGTTCTAATTTTACCTATATTATCTAAGGCATTACTCTCAGGAGAAATAAAATGCATTCCACTTATATCATTCACAATTTGCAGTTATGCTGTGAAGTAAAAGAACAGTTAATGAGTTTTAATAACAGATTTTATAAACCAACGGGTAAAAATATTGCCAAATTAACATATAATGGTGATAAAAATTGCTGATATTTTCATTCCGTTGTACTATGTCTTTGAAATCTGGCTATGGCAAACTGGATTGCAGTTGCTATATTTTCATGTGTAATACTTAGCATATATTTTGATGTAGCAAAATTGTCAAAAGTATTTGGGAGCTTGTATCTAATCCTTAAAAGATTTTAGGGTTACCTCTTCAGAGGGGGGAATGTTAGAGTACCCAAAAGCCCATAAAATAAATAAATATAAGAAGAAAACAAAGAAAAGAAAAAGAAAACTGTGATGGGGAGATATGGGAGGTATTGGAAGGAAAGGAGTGGGCATGGATTTGATAAAAACACCTATATGCATGTATGAAATTCTCAATAAAGTTTTTGTAAAAGTTTAAAAAAAAAGAATAGATTCATATATGCAGAACTTTTCCAACTTAAATTAAAAATTTCATGTAACCAACAGTTTTACATATTAAATGTAATAAAGTCATAAAATGAAATTAATGTAAAATTCTGTTTGACAGTTGCATTTATCAACCTCATTTCAAGTTCTCAATGACCACTTTAGATACTGGATCTCTTATTGGCTTTCGGTTTGTTTGTTTGTTTTTTCCTTTTTTTTTTTTTTGTGGTCTTTTTGAGACAGGGTATCCCTGTAGCCCCAGCTGTCCTGGAACTCACTTTGTAGACCAGGCTGGCCTTGAACTCACAGAGACTCGCCTGCCTCTGCCTCCTGAATGCTGGGATTAAAGGCATGCACCACCATGCCCAGCTGTTTTTTTCCATTTTTAATGCTGAGAATTCAACATCCATCATAACACATGCCAGGTAGTTGCTGTACCACTGAGCTGTATTCACAGCCTGGCATTCAATTATGTTATTTCTTTTTATTTCCATTTATTATACTGTGGTTATTAAGAGAATCAAGTTAAATTCTTTCTTTTTGTGTGTGTGTGTGGTTATGCATGTGTATGGGTGTATGTGCATAATGCCACACTTGTGGAAGTCAGAGGGAAATTTGCAGGAATCGGTTCTTCTTCCACATGTGAGTTTTGAGGATTGATCTTAGGTTTTCAGGCTTGGCTGCACACACCTTACCTATTGAACCATTATGCTGGCCCATTAAATTTTTATATATGAAGATACTATTTATTTTAGTTTGCTTCTATTGTTGTAACAAAACACTGACAAAAACCAGGTTGGGGAGGACAGGGTTTATTTCACCTTCAGCTTACGGTTCATTATGGAGGGAAGACAGGTCATGAGCTCAGGGCAGGAACCAAAGTAGAGACCATGGAGGATTGCTGCTTACTGGCTTGCTCCTCTGGCCTGTACTCAGTCTGCTTTCTTATACAACCAAGGACCACCTGCCCAGGGGGTGCCACAGTGGGCTGGGAACTCCCACATCACTCAGTAATCAAGAAAATGCCCCACAGGCCAATCCAGTGGAGGAAGTTCCTCAGTTGAGGTTCCCTCTTCCCAGATGTGTCAAGTTGACAACCAAAGCTATCCAGCACCAATACCAAAACTAATACAGGAATCTGAACTAAAATGTGATACCTGTATTGGTTTTTCTCTCTGCCATATTTATGATCAAACACACAGAATAATTTTTATAAATAATAAAATATAGCAAATAACTATGAAAACTAGATTTGGTATGAATGATTACTACTAACGCTCATTTATTAAAAATGCCAGTGGTATTTGAAGAATGCAATTAAAAATTTGAAAGTACTATATTTGAGTTTAATGCTTAAATAGTAAAGTACAATAATTTTTATAAAAAATGAATTTAAAATTTTGTGGTCCATATTAAAAAATATATTTATTTATTTGCTTGTTAATTTTTTCTTTGAAAAATTTGAAGAATGCGTTCTGATTCTATTCACCCCCTATTCTTCCTTCTATCACTTCCCAGATCCACACCTAACTTCTTACCATCCCCAACCAGAGCAGTTTCTACTACCCATGCACACCTTCAGGCAGGGCCATCCACTGGAACCTGGTTGTCTTACTAGGTGCCCTACCCTTAATGAAAACTGAGTCTTCCTCTCTTAGCAGTTATCACTTGCCAGTATAGCTCCTCATTTAGGGATGGAGCTTTGTGATTATCTCTTCCCTATGGTAGACTTTTCTGGTTTGATATTGTCTAGGTCTTTGTATGTGCTTTCACAACCACAATGAGTTCATATGTGCAACTCCCCTATTGTGTTTAAAAAACACTTTCATTATAGTTATCCACTGCCTCTGACTCTCGCAATCTTTTTGTCTATTTCTCCTGACATGAACCTAGAGCCTTAGGAGGAGAGAGTGTAATATTATTGTCCCATTTGAGGCTGAGCACTCAGTAATCTCTTATTCTCTGCATGGAGAACAGTTTTGTGTCTCTGTGTTAATTACCATTGGTCATAGCCACAGCTGGCCTGCTGCTCTGGGACTCACTATGTAGAACAGGCCAGCCTTGATCTCACAGTGATTTTCCTCCTGCTGGATTAAAGGCATGCACCACCACTCCTGGCTACTGAATGGACATTTTAATAAGTCACCAGGACTCATTTTAAAACTGTTTATTTAGTAGACTAATAATAGGTTCTTCCCTAGGGGATATTATCTTTCTAGCTACATATTCTTGACCCTGATTATGGAGCCAGGCATGTGTTCTGTCTTGTAGAGCAGGTCTTAAATCCAATCAGAAAGTGATCGGTTTCTCCCATAACATTAGTGCCACTAGTACACTAATGGCATATGTTGCCAGAACACTTGTTATTTTAGCTTGCAGGGTTCAGAGATGGATAACATTGTCGAACACTTTCCTCCTCTTGTAGTTTGCACAGTGCCTTCCTGTACTGTGAAAGCTAGCTAGTAGGGACAAAGCTTCCAGGTCAGTACAAGCTTGATTTCTCCCTGTTCTATGTCACTTCTTCAGCAATAGGGTCTTATCATAAAATTCTGGAGGTAGATGGTATCCAAGAGCAATGGTAATAGCCTATAATGTTTAAGGGTCTGTGGGACCTCCAGTGACAAACAGTTCTAAAACAGACAACCCAGTCCTGGCATTAGGCCTTTTATTTGATAGCCTCTCATGTCTGGTGGCAGGGTATTGACACCTGTTAATACTGTAACTCCATTTAAACTCTTTTTGTATAATATGTTATAGGAAGCCTTATAGTAGTAGGTTTCCATATGACTTTTTCAAAGGTTTTTATTGTTATTTATATTTTTGTGTGTATATGAGTATATGTGTGCTTGCCCATGGTGTGTGTGGAGGTCAGAGGACAATCTATGAGAGTTGGTACTTTCTACCGTGTGGATTTCAGGCTTGATGGCATGCACCTTTACTTGCTGAGATCTTGCTCCAACCCCTGTAGTCCTTATTTTTAATGTGAAGAAGTCCTATGCTGATTTTCTCTTTTTCTGTTCAGTTAACTTTTAAAATCCCACCTTTTTTAAAAGTGTA